TCCTGTGGGGATCCCCAGCCCCAGATCCCGTGGGGATCAGATCCCCGCACCCCACGGGGATGGGATCCTGTCAGGATCCCCAGCCCCAGATCCCGTGGGGATCAGATCCCCGCACCCCACGGGGATGGGATCCTGTGGGGATCCCCGGCTCCTGATCCCACGGGCATGGGATCCTGTCGGGATCCCCGGCTCCCGATCCCATGGGGATCAGATCCCCGCACCCCACGGGGGTGGGATCCTGTTGGGATCCCCGGCTCCTGATCCCACGGGGATGGGATCCTGTCAGGATCCCCAGCCCCAGATCCCGTGGGGATCAGATCCCCGCACCCCATGGGCATGGGATCCTGTGGGGATCCCCAGCCCCAGATCCCATGGGGATGGGATCCTGTCGGGATCCCCAGCCCCAGATCCCACGGGGATCAGATCCCCGGATCCCACGGGGATGAGATCCTGTCAGGATCCCCGGCCCCAGATCCCTCAGGGATGCGATCCCAGCAGGATCCCCGGCCCCAGATCCCTCAGGGATGCGATCCCAGCAGGATCCCCAGCCCCAGACCCGGCAGGGATCCCCAGATCCCAGCAGGATCCCCGGCCCCAGATCCCGCGGGGATCCCCAGCCCCAGACCCCGCGGGGATCCCCAGATCCCAGCAGGATCCCCGGCCCCAGATCCCGTGGGGATCCCCGGCCCCAGATCCCGTGGGTCCCCGCAGCACCTGCAGGATGAGGATGAAGTAGTCGGCCGGTTTGTTCTTGCAGTACAGGAAGTGCCGCGGCGATTTCTTGTTCTCCTCGTCGAACTTCAGCTCCTGGATGACGTCGGAATATTTCAGGAGCCGCAGCAGGATCTTCTCCGAGATGAAGTTGGGGGTGAAGAGCGTCACCTCTGGAGAGGGGGGAAAGGGTCAGGGGTGGGACTAATCCCTCCAGGAGAAGGTGAATTCCCATCTGGAATGGTCTAGGAGATCCTTGGGACCAGAATTCCCATCCTGGGATGGTCTAGGAGACCCTTGACGATGGAATTCCCATCTCGGAATGATGTAGGAGACCCCTGGGGATGGAATTCACATCTGGAATGGTCTAGGAGATCACTGGGACCAGAATTCCCATCCTGGGATGGTCTAGGAGACCCCTGGGATCAGAATTCCCATCCTCAAGTGGTGTGGGAGACCCTCTGGGACCAGAATTCCCATCTTGGAATGGTCTAGGAGACCCCTGGGGATGGAATTCCCATCTTGGAAAGGTCTAGAAGACCCTTGAGACCAGAATTCCCATCCTGGGATGGTCTAGGAGATCCCTGGGACCAGAATTCCCATCTTGGAATGTTCTAGAAGACCCTTGAGACCAGAATTCCCATCCTGGAGAACTCCAACCTTCCAGAATGTCCATCCCAGAGCTCCCAAGGAATCCCTGGAGACCCTTGGGACCAGAATTCCCATCCTGGAATGTTCTAGAACACCCTTGAGACCAAAATTCCCATCCTGGAGAACTCCAACCTTCCAGGATGTCCATCCCAGAGCTCCCAAAGAATCCCTGGAGACCCTTAGGACCCGTCACCCACCCCCACCCTTGTCCCCTCCCACCCTGGGTGACGGAGAACCCAACCAAAAAACCGGGAGAAGAACCGAAACTCCCACTCGGATCACCCAGAGGAGGCACCAGAACCCTCTGAGCTGCTCCGGGGTCACTCTGAGCTCCGGCTGACCGCACTGACCGGTGGACAGGAAGCGGTGGGCGGCCAGCAGGAGCTGAGGTGACACCTTGAC